TTCAAACTTTGGCTGAAATTACCTCCAGCTGGTGACAAGAAGAAGCTGGGAGGGTATGTGAGGGAAGAAGGAAGCTCCCTGCAGTGTTCATTCTTATGCTTTCCCTCTGCATTTGCTACAAGCTCCCAGTAGTGGGCTGGGAACCTGAGCCACCTCAGCTGGTTGTGCAGAGGAGATGGCTCTGCCACCGCTATCCTTATAGCACATTGAATCTGGAAGGGCAGGAGTGTTTGGGAAGAGAAGCTCTTCACTCTCCACGGATGGGGGCTTCATAGCCTTTAGCCTTCTGCCAATATGTATTTAACAATATGTATTTAACTTTGATGAGAGTTTAATGCTAAATGTTGAAGGTGGCTTTTTTTTTCTGGAGGTATAATCTCTTCCTTCACTCGAATAGGTGGGGAAAGGCAGTCATTTGAGAAGTTCAGATATTCTCTTTATTGCACATCCATCATAAACCATTAATCAGAGTATATGTGTGCTCACAAGATGTTTGTCAGAATGCTAAAATTGTACAAAGCCAGTTGGGAAAACAGGTATAAATTTGAACTACTAGTGAAGCTACAGAACTATTTTTTTTTCTGTCTCCCACTATGTCTAAAACAAGATTGAATGTTTTTCAAGAAAGCACACTCCAGTTCAACACATATTGCTGAATTTATTTTCTAGCCATGGCATTTAGCAGCTTCTCAGATCTGATAGTGTCTAGGTCCTTTTAACCTAATGCTCTGAATTTATAGAGGGGCAGGTTGGATTTGAATTGTCCAAATAATCGCTCATGTGATGCTTCTTTCATATGCACATCTGGTAAATTCTTCCTTATTCCTAATTAGGATGCAGCTTCTTGGAAAATTAGTTCTTTGACAGCAACTGTAACCAGAAACTGCAAATTTAAACAAGAACTGAGAATTCCACTGAGACTTTTATTAGCAACAAAATCAAAGAACTGTGAAATTTTGTTTTTCTTCCCATCAGCATCACTAAATCTTCTGAATCCAGATCATGCTTAGTCATCTGTCATTGCAAACACACCTGGAGCAATTGAAATCATATCTGTTGTATTTCTCCATATTTCTGCACCAAGTCCTATGAGGAGTGGCTGAGGGAGCTGGGATTGTTTGACCTGGAGAAAAGGAGGCTGAAGGGAGACCTTATTGCTCTCTACAACTACCTGAAAGGAGGTTTTAGAGACATGGGGGTTGGTTTCTTCTCCCAAGTAATAGGCAATAGGACAAGAGGAAATGGCCTCAAGTTCCACCAGTAGAGGCTTGGATTGGATATTAGGAAAAATTTCTTCACTGAAGGGGTTGTCAAGCATTGGAACAGGCTGCCCTGGGGAGTAGTGGAGTCATTGTCCCTGGAGGTATATAAAAGCTGGGTAGAGGGGGTGCTGAGGGACATGGTTTAGTGGTGGACTTGGTAGTGCTACATTAATGGTTGGGTTTGATTATCTTAAAGGTCTTTTTCAACCTAAAAGATTCTATGATTCGTGACCTACCAGTGATCGGGGAAAAAAATTGCTGTTCTTTTGTTTAGCTAACTGCCAGAACTGCACTTCACATAAAGAAGAAACAGCTAAAAACATTTGTATCCTACTATATTCTGCCCAGTTCAACTCAATTTGACACTATAAATATGCATTAAATCAGCTAACCAAAATCTCTTCTTGTCTAAACTATTCTCAATTAAAAATAATCCCTCTAATATCAGAGAAATCAGAATAAAGGTTGTAAAGAAAATATCCCTTAGAAATAAACAAAAGCATAGACATGAAATCCAAATTGATGTAAGCCTTAACTACTGATCTTGTTCTGAACAAAATACAAAAATCTGTTTATGAAATACTTGCTGTTTATGAACCTTGTCTCACTGGCAGAATGACCAGCAAAAATTACCAAACCTAGGATTAGTGTATGCCATGGGTAGTTTTCTTTCCCTTGCCTGCAATAATTGACGTTCTTCTTTCAAAATTGCTGCACTTCAACAAGATACTAAAGAACCTACTTTTGTTCGGAAGAACCACTCACGCACAATGAATTATGTGCTTCGTGCCCATCTGAATGGGAGCAATTGAACTAACAAGTTGAAGAGATCTTTATCTATGCCTTATTATCAGAACAGATGGAACAGTTAGAGGGGGGAAAAAAAATCTATTTCAGGCTTTGATAGTTCCTATTATGGACAAAATTCCACTAGCTGACAAGGGAGCAGTTTCCATGACTAGGACCTAAACTTTCAAACAGCTGCAACTCTGTTTTTACAGGAAGAACATGAGCTGTGGTTGACTTCCTTGCAGTTATTTGCTGATTTGGATACAGACAATAAAGCTGGAATCATAAAGCGAACACAGATACAGAAATGGCCTGTTGCTACGGAATCTAAGAACTGTAATGCAGCATCATTATCTTCTGCATTGTGGTCTGTGAGCATTACCTTAGGAAAAAAAAACAACAGTTGGAAAGCACACAAAGAAGTGAGTATCTTTCTGGAGAAGGCAGAATAATGTTGTGTCCGTTCTGCACAAAAGAGTAAGGGATTTCTCCTCTTGTGCAATAGCACTGATGCTGTTTGCATGTACAACAGCTACTACCCATTATCTCTTCTACATAAAGCATAATTGCACCACATCCTCGAGGCATTACTTTGTGCAATTCCAGTGACCTGAGCGGAGGATTTGGCCTGCCTCTACTAGACTTGTCATGTTCCATACATAAAGCAACATCACCCTTTCAGCCACTTACTGAGTCCCTTTATTAAGGTTGCAAATAAAGTCAGTCACTCTAATCATGCTTTTGGTTGTTGTGGATCCTGGCTTGGCTAGGAATTGTTGGAGATAAACATCTCATTTCAAATAGGATACTGAGCAGATGGTAATGACTTTTAATCACAAGAAACATGAGGCAAATCTGAAATAATGCCCTTGAGATGAACAGTTTGGTACATCATTCCCACCATTTTGAATGCTGAATAACCTTGCCCCATGAAGAGAGCCATGTGTGATTTATGTACACTTATACTTCCAGCTCACTAAAATACTGACAGTCATTAATAGTTTTTCACAATTCTTATTCTGGGCCCTTATCCAATGCCCAGTGAAGTCAAAGCAAAGCCTTCTTTCTAAGCCTTCAAAGTCTCCATCTGCTGCAATAATAAAGTGTCGTTTTAATTGCTGATGCAGAAGTTTGGGAGCTACACAAGAACTTCCTGCTCAATACTAAAATTGAGAGTAGAGGATTGTTTCTTTAGACACCTGAAATCCTGTCTTCAGAGAAAAAAAAAAAAGAATAAAAGCTTTCTGCAATCTGTGGGAACATTATTGAGGGTCAGACACTGACCTTCAGCTCATGACCTATGCCTGTGTCAGGTTAATTACATCATTTTAGATAATTCTCTGCTTAAGTCAGTCCTGAGAAGGCAGTATAAGTTTGGTGGTTTTTTTTTTTCACAGGGCCTGTCTGCTGCTGCATTATTGAAAGCTGAGGTGCTCTTTTGCATTAAAGACATCTTTATGCCAAGAGAGGAGCTCTCGTTTCTGCATAATCCTCCTCTGATCCTTTGTGATGTTTTCAGAGCAGTCTGCTGACCCGACGATACTGCTGGTGATGGTGGTGTGACAGGTTTGCATTTCAGTCCTTGGGCTGCAATCTCCCTGCGTGGCAGCTTACTAACACCATTTCTTAATAGTCACGTTTGAATACTTTTGCTTGAGCCCAGTTACAGAACAATCTGTGTTTAAGCTCTTTTCAGCAGGGAATTGGTGAGAATAGTTTTCAAACAGCCTGACTAAACCATGTCTGCAGCAAAAACTCCATCATGGTTTATAACATGCCTTCCACAACTCCACTTAAATTTTAACTGCATGTAAATCAGTAGCAAATTTTACCCCTTTTACCTCTGTGTGGCTTTGCCATTTGACCTTCTGGAGAATGACTCTGACACCTCGCTTCCACGTCCTGGAAAGATGTCCACCTGCACCACTCACCAGGGAATCCTCCCTCGCTGCTTATGGTAACAGCAAATATTTCCACAGGCAGGTGATTATAGCTAGGGAGATGAGGTCTAAGCAAATAAGGTGCCTGATTAATCATAGGCACAAGAGGCGTGCAGGGGAGGCTGGCCCCCATTGCTGGTGGCAGGAGGACATCCCCCTGTGATGGAGGTGGTGGTGGCCGCCTGCAGCTGGAGGCTCTGGGCCTCGTGTGGCTGCTGTAGATGGCATGAGCTGGCACGGAGCGAGCTGTGGAGTCTGGAAAACCACACAGAGCCCTTGATCCTGCTGCGTGCAGAGAAAGCCATCGGCTTCAGCAGGAAGATTTGCTTCTCTCAAGCTCTGGGAAGGGCTGGGAGCGTGCACAGCCCTTGACTAACCATGTGGTTATTTCCCCAACACAGTGTCTCTTCATGATTTCATCGGCAGGCTCTTCGAAATGAAAAAATGAAACGTATGGATGAAACATCCAGGCCTGCTCAAGCACAGCTTGCTTAAACGCCTCAGGAGTGTTGTCTGAGAAATGAGTCTGTAGGAACGGGGCCTGCAGAGGGAACCCCCTGTGCTGTGCTGCTGTTGGGAGCTGGGAGACGTCCGTCTCCCCAGAGCCCTCTTACGTGACACATAGGAGGGCAGGCAGATTAATGGACTCGCCACCTGGTTAGTGGAATATAATTCTTTCAAGTTGGGCGATGAAGGTTTGAGGACTGATGCTGTGGTGGGGACACGCAGCAATTAGTGAGCTTCCACATGAACACCTCAGTCAGCCCCTCTTGCCTGGCAGAACCGCCTAAAGCCACCTCGTTCGGACTGAGGGGCTCCCACCGCCCAGCCGGTCCCTCCCTCCGGGCCGGGTTGGGGGGTGCCTGGCCTGGCCTGCCGCCCGCCGGCCTCCCCTCACGGCCTTCCCGCCGCTGCCGCCCGGCCGGCGGACTACATTTCCCAGCGGCCACCGGGCGGGGCGGGAGGCGGGCGGTCGGCGGCGGCTGACCGGGCTCGGCGGGGCCTGCCGGGAGCATGGCTGCCAGGGAAGCGGGCGGCGTCGTGCTGGGCAAATCCGCCGAGAAGCTCTTCTCTCTGAGCGGGCTCTTCGCCGTCTACAAGCCCAAAGGGCCCACCTCGGCCGGTGTGCTCAACCTGCTGAAGGAGAAGCTGCTGGCAGGTAGGCTGCGGGCCGGGGGAGGCGAGGTCAGGGCGGGTGAGGTGAGGTGCAACCTCCCAGAGTTGGGCCTGGTGGCCCGAGGTAGGGTTTTGGTGATAAAATAAGGAAACTGACAGGAAAATGGGCGCAGGCCCTGCCCGCAGTCCTAGGGCAGGAGCAGGCCAGCCTGAAGCGAACACATATTTATTCCTCGAGTGTTTTGACCAGGGAGTCAAACATTTAGACCTCGAGTGTTGTTACCCGGCATGGCTGCGGGGTGGGCGTCATGAGGTAGGGTGTGCGTTCCTTAGGATGCCAGAGCCACAACCCCTCTCAAGCCCCTGCACACTCTTTTTTAGCGTTCAAAACACTAAAGGAGAACTGGCTTTTTGTTAATCTTTTTTTTGGTCGTAGATCACAGCCATGGCATGGCCCAGGCTGGGGAATGGAGCCATTCCTGGACACGTTCTGGCATGCTGTGTGGAGCTGCTGGGTCCATGCAAGGCTCAGTGTGTTGGTCACCCCGCATGGTGAGCTGTAGGGCCATATTCACCACTTGCTTGTTTGGGGCAGTAATCTGGGTACAGCATGATGTGAGCCTTTGTTTTGGATGGGGATGAGATTTCCCCCAGGAGAAGGCTTCAGTTCTGCAGTGCACAGAGCAGGGGATCCCAGCTTCCCTGGAGAGCTGTGGAGCATGGTCCCAGGGACACCATGCACCCATCTGCATATCAGCAACATCCTTGCAGCACAGCATTAGCAGGATGTTCTGCTTCAGTTCCACTGCCTATTACCATTAAAAAAAAAAAAAAAAAAACCACCAAATGCGGGAAAACCACAGCGTTTTGAAGAGCTTGAAAGTTCTGGGCACACTGGAAAAACTGCTTTTCCTGAATACAGGGGAGACTGGGTGTCACATATTAGGGGGAAAAAAAAGTGTGATCATTGCAAAGGTGTGAGGGACTGTGGCCTAGATTCTCTTTATAATGGATATGGGGACCTGGCTATATAATCTGGGCTTTTGGGCACTTGCTGATGAAGTAAGAACGTAGACTTTCAGACTGGTGGTTGCTTATTTAGGCTAATTTACTCTGTAGTGAACGGTAGTGTAGGCACTGACTTCAATTCAGCTTTGTAGGGAAGAGATTTAGCTGGATCATGTCTGATCCCCTGATGTGAAAGGCATAATGAAGAGATAATAGGAAAAGGTAAGAGAGCTTAGAGCGTTTGTCATTTTTAATACTAATAAATAAGGGGCATTGGACTCTGCAAAATTCCTGGAGTCATCAGCTGCATAGAAAGTATGGTGGGTTGGGATGCTCTGACAGCTTGAAAGCAGCAGTGGGCTGTTCAGTTCATTGTGGAGTTTCCATAGGGCTGCATAAATGCAAATAAATGTGGCCCATTACATGGCAGTAAATACAACAAGAATTACTCAGATTACCTAGCATAAAATTTGTGTATAATAGATGATTTTGGGGACTCTGCTGCTAGTTCTTGCATGCTTTGTTAATGAAACTTCACAGGTGAACTGTTTGCCAGGTTTTCTAGTGGTATTTTCTGAACATCTGTTTATAACAGTATGGAAGATTTGATTAGAATCTAAGTGAAAATAGCTCAAAATGTTTTTGAGGTTGGGAGTAGATATAGATGAATCATTGGTCTTATTCGGTAGGCCAATTTCTGCACTACTAATTCATAGTTTAAATAATTCATTTTTATCTCCTTTAGCAATCTGGAAAAACGTGCTATTTTTCTTATCTTCTAAGGCTGTCCGATAATGCCTCCTTTCAATTTCTATTTGCAGAAGCTGGTGTGCAAACAAATGGGAACAAAAGAAACCAGGTTTTGAAAATTGGACATGGTGGAACTTTGGACAGTGCAGCGGCAGGAGTTCTGGGTAATGAAAAATATAAATAGTGTCATCAAAAATCATTTCAGGAAACGTTTTCATGCTTACATGAAATCAGAGGTGGAGAAACAATTTTGGATGCACATGACAGGCTTTGTAGTTTTGCAGGAAGGACAGGTTACTGTGGAAGAGTGGTCCAGATTAAATTTCCTCTGCATATACTTTTACGTGCATATAATGTATTTCTTAATAGAAGGCTGTATTCCACCCTCTCCTCAACTCCTGAAATAACTTGTGAGTTACTACATGAAAATACAGACTCTTGTGTAATGAATTCTAAATTACCTCAGAAATTGATGGCCTTTATGTACCTAAGCTGGGGATTTTTAGTCATTGTTATTTTCTAAAGTATTTGTTCTTAAATGAATGCTTTCCTGGGATTTTGAGGGAATCTTTTGGGTTGTCATATGAATCAAATGAAAGATGTGTGAGAGCTGCTTTTTTTTGAGGCTCAGCACAGAAACAGTTTTTGCTCCCTGTCTTGCTTAATAAAGAGGAGTCATCAAAGAGACTTTGTCTTTTAGGTTTCAATCCATTTGTCAAATTGCTTTATTTTATTAAGGAACAGGATGTGTCAGTTCCTGGTGTTGAAAACTCAGCTGTGGGTGTGACCATTGGGCTGGATTGTTTCTGTATCATACACATTGTCACTGATATTTGTGTTGATCAGTAACGTGCAAACTACAGCTTGCTTAAATTATAGCCTTGTAGCTTTACTTAGCTAGAAGAAATAATAGCAATACTTTTTTTGATATTGAAATCAACAGGTGCAACTATGAGTGTACACTGGAAGTAAACCCACTGAGTTTTGGTGTAATGACTTCTCAGGGTGAGAAGGGGATGTTGTTTGCTGAAACTGTTGCTAGTGGAGGCCCATAGGCTGGTAATTGTCTTTCTCTCTCAGCTGTGAACATTGCAAAATGTAACATTCTTGGGCTTAGAAGTAAACTTGTTAGCTTCCAATTTCCTGTACTGTGCGGCCGCTCACCGGAGAATACCTCGTGTATTGCTGAAGAGGACATTTTCATTTTACACAGATGCTCCCTTTGAGCATAGTACTGCTCATTGTGGGAAGTCAACAGCATTGATCCATAGGAAAAGAAAAATCACTCATGCTTCTTAATTGCTTCTCCTACTGTTCTCTGATATCCAACCGTCTCCGAAGCCTGCTCCTGTGGCATGACAAAAAGTACTTGGGCTTGATGTGCTTGGTAAAGACAGAGAAGTGCATTGCCTTAATATGCTATAGATCGATTAAAAAAAAAAAAAAAAGGCACAGGATCTTTCATTCCACTGCCATACAAAACACAGAGAAAAATCAATGTAGCTAGTTTGGAGAACAAAACTGGAGAGGAGTGGGGAAGGGAATGTGCATAGATTTCTCATGGGCTCAGGTAGGATAATGAAGAGAGAGGGGAGGACACAACAGAAACAAGTTATTCAGAAAATGTGTGCTGGTTTTTGGCATAGAGTAGTGGGGCAGGAAGCTTTCTTTCCTCACAGACAGTAGCATAATAGAAGTATTTCTTTTGGAGACATCTAACCTTTTTTTCTTGATGTATACTGCTGTTGCCCAAATAAGGTACTGCATATCTTTAACTTTGTTCATGGGAACTACCTGATACAGTCTTGCTTAGTGTGCCAAGTGTACTGCAAATAACTTGGCAGTGCTTTTCATTAGGAAATATACTTTCATGTTTCTTTTCCTACTGACACCAGATGTTGATGAGGAAAGACCTTGGAGACAGAGATCAGTGATCTGTACATGGCATGTGAGTGAAAGGTGCCTTAGAGACCAGGTGGCATGTGATGCCCCTGCACTGGTAGGAGCCTGGAGCGACTGCTGTCTGAGAGGCAAAAATCTTTTGTCTCTTCCCATCTGTGGCTTCTGTTGCATTTGGAAGGTGGTGGGAGCTGGGACTCAACTTCTACTCCTGACTGCTGGGTCTCATGTTTTAGATAAAAGCAGCAAGGAATTGTAGGTCAAGTCTTAGTTGATATCTTCTTCACTATCTGTCTAGAGCTGTGTTTGCAGTTCAGTATTTCTTGCTGCACAATGGGAATGGTAAATATTTGGCTTGTTTCTATATGTCAGTTATGAACTGCGCTTCCATAGTAGAAGAGAAGATGCCAAAGTATCAAAATTAAAATCTAGCAGTAAAGTTTCTGAGGAGAAGTGTGATTCCATCTTTTGAGAGTGAGCACATCTCCGTAATGTGCGCTGAACTTTACATAAGGAAGATTGGAACTCCTCTGTCCTGGGAGAATCTAAGCCATTTATAAAAAGGCAGAGATAAGTGATGGTAATTCTTTTGAAACTAAAGTATGTATTATTTAAGCCAAGTAGCAATTGCCATTCAAGAAGTGGCTTAGAGCCCGGCAAATCAAAAGTAAAGTATTCAGTTAATCCTTGTTACACTCTATGTAGTCTGACAAGGTTAGTTGATGTCATCTTTCAGCAGCACACATGCTACACAACCTGATGATTAGTTGGGAAAATTGTTAGTTTCTTGTTCACAAAAGCGTTCAATGTCTCTTTAAAATTATTCTGTTGAATCTCTTGACACTCTTCAGCAGATTTCAGTTCAACAGTTATGTTGAAGTGTCAGTGATGTCATCACATTGCAAGAAAAGTGCTTGGTTTTAAAGTTTTATCTGTGTGCTTATCTCCTTTTCTCAGCCGTGTTGCAGCTCTTTTCTATCTAGTGAATGTGACAGGAACAGGCTGAACTGAAGGAACACAAAAGCACGAGCACAAGGGCATGTGGGACTAAAAACCCTCAAGAACAAGAGGAGAAGTAATTGAGAATAAGTTGTCTAATGAGTCTCAGAACATACAGACTGAGAAGCAGTAAAGCACATGTGTTTGGTTAAAAAAAAATAAAATTGTTCATTGTCTGATTTGATGCTTTTGGTACTGGCTGCTGGTTAACACAAAGCTGATTTCCTGCAAGCTCCCTTAACTCCTGTAGTTCTATTAAAATCAAGGACATAAGCTGCTTCGTATTCCACGAGTTGTACACGAAGCTAATGTCCTTCTAAAATTTTCATTGTTTCCCATCTTCCTTCTGTTGTCATTGTTTCTTTAGATTGCTGTATGTGGAGAAAATCAATAGAAAATCATATACAAGGAAAGCACCTTGTTGTAAAAAGCTTTAAAATAAAATATAAAATAGAGCTCTCTTGCCATCTGCTTCTTTTATGAAAAGCTGGCTGATTGTTTCACAGAATACTGGTGTAAGTTTGAAAAGACAGTAGTCTGTAGATACACAATAATAGGAGGGTTTGATTATAAAAGATTTTTTGACAGAGGCAATTGGACCTTTTGATTATTTTGCTTTCTTGCTCTAAGTCTGATAAACAGTTTCATTATACTACCTTGGCTGTATTACTCTTGGTCACTATCAACCTTTAAAAGAGCTATTTAGTTACAGTGGAGGCTGGATTCATTATTAGCGAGCCGTACCCTTCATCAAACCAAAGGCGGTGTTAATTGCACTATCCATTTGTTTGGTGATTAAAAGATAAATAAATCTAGGGGTTGAATTTAAGCATTTTAAGTAGATGAAGCTTATTTATCTTCTGCTTTAGACTTTTTTTCCTTTCACTGGTCTCGTGGTGTTTGAATATCTGAGATACTTTCTCATAAGCATTGACTCTATATGCTACCAGAGCATGAAAGGCTCTATTTCTGACCAGCATAATATCCAGGAATGAATGGTGTTGAATAAAGCAACTGCAGAGCTGTTTATTGAAGTCTTGTTTCTCCTTCTGTCTTTGCAGTGGTTGGTATTGGAAAAGGAACAAAAATGCTGAGAACGATGTTGGCAGGTTCCAAGGTAAGGAGTGCTAAATTACTTGTATTAGGGTTTTTTTTTTTATTTGTGTGTTCTGTTCTTTTCTTCCATTGAAGAGCACCATCAAAATACAAGTATCTCAACCATCCTGTGTATTTTTTAAAAATGTGTATTTCAGTTCCTTTTTGCATTTAGTCAGAAATGTGATATTAAGACTTTTACATCCAGAGTAGTTATTTTAAAACCTTTGTTTGTCTTGTTTTTTCTACAGAATGTTAATAAGGACTGAATTCCTATTTTACAGGAAGATTTCTAGAATAATTAGTGTTTTCAACAAAAAAAAAAAAAGGAAAACTGTAATGAAGATGGCTCTGTAAATGATGTTTTTGGGATGTAATTGTGTATGATGGTTCAGTTTTTGGTTGTTTTCCTTATGTGTAGATAACATAATTGTTATTTAGCTCACAGTAACAGATGGTCTTTGTTTCTTTTCTCTCTTCTTAAATACCATGGGGCCTTAAGAGGCACCTTTTGGAATGAAGAGTGTTTTGTGTTGGTGATAGTAGCTGTCATTCCAGATTGCAGCTCCTGTAGACGGGTGCTTTGCAAAGGTGGGGACAGGCATGTGTAAGAAGCCAAAGGTAACAGAAGCCTTGTGGCTGCATGAGATAATCCAGACTGGAGCCTTGACAGATACCAATCGTGTTCATCACTTCTTTTGATTAGTTGTACCATGTCTTTTGTGCCTGTGCTCCAGATTGTAGGTGCTGTGTACGCAAACAAGTGTAGGTACTCCCAAGAACAATCCACCAGTGTTGATTCCTTCTTTGCAAGTAAAATCCTGTGGTTTTAGCTATTATTTTTTTAAATGAGAAGTTCAGTTAAGAATGACAGACGCAGAAAACAATTAAGCCTTCCAGATTTCATCTTATACTCAGGGAAAGTCAATAGTGGGCTCAGCAAATTGATAGCCTTCTTTATGCATTTTATTCTGCTGTTTTTCCCATTCCCTTCTGGTCTTAAGCTCTTTACAGGTGCTGAACTGATAACTTGAGGTAGAATTTGAGTGACAATCTTCAGTTCAACTCAAAGGAAAATAATTTGGCAGAAGAGAATAGAACCAGGTGAAAAAGACATAGCTGTAGAGTCTGATTCAAAACTCCTTGTAGTGGGTGTCAGTCTCTGCACTGACTGTGATGGGTTTGCAGTTGGTTTATAGGACCAGATTTCAGAGGCCTCTGCATTTTAAAATACGCACTAAGGAGCTGGAGCTGGGTGTACAGTGGAAGTGTAAGCAGTTACCACCTCACATCTCCTGTCGAAGAACTTTTTAGGTTAAAAAAAAAAAAAGGCATCGAGATACTTCAGCTAAATTAAGTCGTCATAGCTAAATGTGCAAAAATTGTTGATTTAAAAACACGCGAAGCAATTCAGTATTTCCTAAGCTGATGTTCACAGTGAAAACAGCTGTGATGAATGAATTAATTTCAACCTTTTTGGCAGAAAAGAGTATGCTATGCATAAGTTCCTTGGCAACTTCACTGTGAAGTCCTGTAGCCAGTAGGAGTGTTATCAGCCAAACATTGGCCCCGGATAGCTCAAGAAGGCTTCTAGCTGCTGCTGAGGGACAAGGAAGGGGAACGCAGAGGAGAGATGGGCAGTGGGGGCAGGCTGGTAAGGTACCTCAGGTACATCCGTCAGCTCTCATCTGGCCTTAGGTTGGTGTAGCCTGTGGGCACTTGATCCAATGAGGCAAGCAAAGTTACATCCTTACAGTAGATCAGCTCTTCCACTGCAACAGTTTGTGTGTTCTGATGTGGCAGAGAGTGTGAGGTAGGTGACAACTCTGCCAGGTGGCATGGCAGGCGTGAAACTTCATTTGGAGCTTGTCTTGTCTCTGCTTTCCTATTTTCTGTTTATACTTAGGCACACAATAATTTGAAAGGCTTAAAGAAGTTGAATGGTCTCCCGCAGATATCTGCCTATTTGTCTTTTTGACCACACTGATGACAAATAATGTAATCCATGACTCTCTAAATAGGTTTGAGTATCTTTTTGCACCCCATGCTATGTGCTAGGAATGTATACTCTTCTTTCATCTTTTTTTTTACCATTGTGGATGCTAAAGTGTTCCTTGAAGTGGGATGTTTTTCTTTTGTTCCTTTTATTACTGTAAAGATTCAGATGAACTGGCTGAGCCTCTCTGGTTAGGATTTACTATTTGGTTATAGGAATGTATCTTGTAAAGAAATAGTTCAGTCTATCATTGTTGGCAGCAGAGTTATGCTGAGTGGCCAAAACGTATGTTACTGCAGTAAACTCCATATGGTGGCTCTGCCAGAGATTGGACTATTTCTGATTTTTTCCCAAACATTGTGTGAAACTTCCCTGACTTTGTGTGGCAGCTCTGAACATTATCACTCGATTTGCAACTCATACACATTATAGGAGGGGTGTTACTCTTTCAGTGTAAATCTAGTTCTCCATTGCTTTGACCTCCTTGTGAATTAACTCAAAACAAATAGAAATGTGCAGCCAAGGGCAATACCTACTTTGTGTTCCAGATTTCTCATTGAATTCTTAATATTTATCCAGAAATAAAAATATGTGCAAGCTGGCTTAGTTTTTATTTGTTTGCCTTATTTTATTTCAAATGTTCCAACTGAGGGGGAGAAGCTGAATCCTCTTGGATCTGGAATTTGAATACTGAGCATTTAATACATATTCCCTAAGAGAGTCACTTTTCCTTTTTGTATTCGGGGACTTTGACTTGGTCTTGCTTGGAATTTTTGCACTGTATTATTTTGAGAGACACTTTTATTGTGTTTGCAAAATAAAGATGCTAGAATGAGAAAATATTTCCTGCTTTAGGAGTAAAATGAATATGATGAGGGTGGACCAATTTTTATTATGGTAAATTGCTCCTGAAGGACTCAGTCTTATGGGTGATGTGTCTGTGTCAAACACAATGCAGAAGTGATTTTTTTTTTT